GCTTGCCTCCCGGGGAGCGAAGGAGGTGAGCTGCACCCAAGCCCCCTAGAGCTCCACCCCCCAGCCCAGAGCCTCCCCCAGCTCCCAAAGCCTTAGGCAGGTGCGGGGGGGCAGAGTTTGTGGGAGGAGGGGTGGGGCTCTGGGCACCACCACAATTTTTGCAACCCTGCTGCCCCTGCCGGGTCTATTCCTGCTCTGCCGCTTGCCTCCCGGGGAGCGAAGGAGGTGAGGAACTTCACCCCGTGGGCCGCGGGCCACCGGAGCTGCGCTGCTTATTGGCAGAGCTCAGGCCTAACGCCCCCTCTGGCTCGGGCACCACTGATGGCTTGGCCCTTTCCCCCACAGCGCCCCTGTGCCGCTTTCCAGCTGGAGCACAACGTGTACGTGCAGCTGGGCAGGAAGACGATCCCAGTGGAATGGATGGATGAGGGGAGACTGGGCACCGAGGGAGCCCCAGAAAGCAAGCAAGCCCGTGGGAAGTCCATCTGTCCAGAGGAGGAATTCCCTTATGTCCTGTGTGGGGTCACTGAGCCCAGCCTGGCATGAGAGCCAGGGCCACGGACCTGCCCCAGGGTCAAACTCTGCCCCCTCCATCAGCATGGCACAGGGCCGGCTCTCAGCCCGTACGGCTGTATTGTGCTAGCTATTTGTGCTGGGACGGCACCCGCCTGCCCCAGCCAGGATTGGGCCCCGCTGTACCCAGCGCTGTGCAGACTGGCTTGCAGACATTTTCGAAAGGGCCACGGCCTGCTCTATGGGGTTGCGTCTGTGCCATGAGCCTGGCCTGGCCTGCTCACAAGGCAGTGGGAGGGTACTGGCCAGGAGCAGGGCCCAGGACGGAGATGAAGGTGAACGGACCATGCCCCGGTTCCACCCTCATCCTGCAGGCAGGGCAGCGCCAGTGGCATGGCTTCCGCTCTCTGGGCTGTTGTGAAAACTCAATGAGAGCAAGCGGTGTTCCCTGTAAGCCGGGTGCTTGTGCGGCCGCTCGGGAGATCCCAGTGCTGCCCAGCTGACTAGCAGTGCGCCCACAGCTGGGTTTTGTGATTCTACTGGTGGTGCACATTCACCCGTGCCTCGTGCACTTAAATTATTCCACACATGGATGGAAACGATTAGAAGGAGCGTTGGTCCCAAGCTGCAGCCAGGAAGGAGAGGGTAGTCAGGTGTTGGGAGCTGGCCTGATGCCTGGGAACCTCGGAGGCTCCGGGCTGCCATCCTGGCACCTCCCGCCAGAGCCCCATGGCAAACGAGCCAGCCCCATCCTGGGGCAATAGGTCAGTCGAGCCGTGTGTGTGAACAGGCGTGCGACTCCACCCCCAACGTGTCTCCATTCACACGCCTGCGCTAGCAGGGCCATTCTCGGCCAGGGAGGCCGGGCTGGGGCCTTGACTGTCCTGCCGGGACAAAATGTGCCTCTGGGGCTGGCACCCAACGGGGCTGCCTGGAGGGGTCAGCGGCCTGGCCTGCCCCTGCCCTGGCGCTGCCCCCGAGCACAGCGAGGCCCCTGCCAGCTGCTCTGCAGGGCTATAGATAGACGCGCGACGCTCACTCCTGGGCAGCCGGCGGGCCGGGCGAGCCAGCACCCTCAGCCTGGCCGCACGTGGCCAATGCAGCAAAGGTTGCTACACGCTGCAGTCGTTTGTTTCACGTTGCCACCCCACTCGTTTTTTGTTGGTGAGGCAGACCAGCCAGGGTGAGTGGCTTAAAAACCTGCCGGCCTGTTTGTGTGCAAGGCGAACGGAGACCAGGGCGGCGAGTCCGGGTAAGGGCCCGTTGCTGGACTCAGGCGCCTGGCCTCGTAGCTGGGCCTTCGTGCTGCACAATCCGTGGATCTGCATGGAGAGGCGGCGTATAATAACCTGCCCTCGAATGAAAACTCTGGAGCCTCCCTGGGCCGGGCCACGAGGCTCTGTAAGGCTGCGCAGGCGTCTCCCATGCTCCCTCCCCGGGCGTGCCAGCCGGGGTGCAGGCTGGCCGGGGGCA